AAGTTATTTTAAATTTATAAAATTAAAACAGTAGTAAATTTAAATTAAAGAAAATATTTAAGAATGAAAGTTCAATAGTGATGCATATAATAACGTCTAATTCTGCTTATAAACAATATATGATTTTATTTAAAATCACATATTGTTATATTGACTATGTTATTTATTGTAAAAAATAGTTGCGTTTTCACTGGACTCATATATATTACACTTTAGATTATTAATGGAGTGTGTTATCTTTATATTCTCAATTCATATAACAAGAATATATTTTGTTGCACAAGGATCAAGTAACAAAAAAAGAATATGTTATACAAATTTTTAAATATGTATCCAACGGCCTAATTATTGACGGTTTATATAATAAATTAACAATACTGAGGATGATTGTTACAATAAACGTATATTAAATATTGTTTCATTAGCTCATAGCCCTTCTTAAATACTTTCTTTAATTTAAAACAGTAAATTTGTTTTTAAAGCAGTAAATTTGAGTAATTCTTCAAAAGAGTTACTCATCTCTATTTTGATGAAATTAGGTTCATTTGACTCGTTTTTGTGTAAAATGAAAGAATTTGGCAGAAAAAAGTCCAGGACTGCTCTGTAAAACGAAATATTGAGCATTAAAATTGACTGAAGTGTTACTATGTAACAATCATTAATCTGTCATGGACAGTGGAGTGTATAGACTAGTGCTCATTGGTTCGAAGCGGCTACGCCACCCCAAACAAAAACAAAATAATATATTCTACCCGCTTGAAGCCTAATCACCTAGATGTTGCAGCCTAGACAGTATCCGCTTGGAATATTTCTAACCTTTAAAGACAGTGGGGTGTGAGAACAGTCTTTTTAGAGCAGTCTTTTTACTACTTTTACTACTTTTACTTTTTAGTTAGGCCCCAAGCGAGTAGGATATATTTTTTTTGTTCAAGGCAGCATAGCCGCTCCAAATCAATAAGCATTACTGTCTATATACCTTACTATGATTGTCTATACACTCCATATGACAGATTTCCTAACCTCAATAATTGTCGACTTTAAAGCTCAATATCTCGCTTCGCAGTCGCTGAGCAGTCGCGGATTTTTTTTCTGTCAGATTCTTTCATTTCACGCAAAAACGCATCGAATGAGCCTAATTTTATCGAAATTGGAGTAGCTCTTCTGAAGAATTACCAAATTTGAAATAACTGGGATATTGTAAATCTTTACCCTAATTGATATTGTGCCATGTATACGTACTTTGATACATGCGCATTACACTGTGATCACAATATTTTGCGAAATTTAATACAAATGTAACACTAGCATTATTAGCTGTATATGTCAACAATATAATTCTGCGAATCTGCTTTAAAACACAAATTCACTGCAAGATTCCGTTTATGCACAATTTCAATGTTCTTACTTTCGTTCTAATGCTGGGATTAACAACTTCTTCTACCATTGTACTTTAACTTTTTTAGTAACATGACATATCGGATAGAAATGATACACATTCGTCGGGTTCAGCCAAAGCCATAGAGAATGTACTGCGCGATCAGCGTAATCCGTGTCAAAATGGCTGACAAAAATGAAAGAGAGGGACCGTGAAGGACGGCCAATCTCTATCTCTTTCTATTCAATGGCGATTTTGATTTTCCAGGCCCCGAGCTTAAAAAAACGTTTTGAGAAAAAGATAGTGTAGAGCGAATGAAAAATTGTACCAGTAACATAATTTTATTCAAAATATTTTTTTATTAATTTTTAAATACAATAGTTTTTGTATTTTTAGCTCTTATTCTATCTCTTTTGGAAAGTCACATGTACTTTCGTGATGTAGATGTACATCACGAAAACATATTTAAAAATTTTTAGTGACACATTTTCTATGATTTCTTGTTTAATATTTTCTTTATTATTTAAAATATATATAGGGAAATTTTCTGTACAGTTTTTTGAATCAATACTTTTTTAACATTTTCTGTTTCATAAATTTCTATCTCTCTTAAAGTACGTCCTGCGATTAAACATATTTCAATTACATCTGCAGACGCAGAAATTAACTTAACGTTTTCTTCTATTTTTAATTTTTTGTAAAGAAGATAGAATTTGAAAATTTGTTAACTTCTTACATTCATTTCAATCCATTCTTGTTCGCTAAGAGCAATCTTCATTTTTTTCATTCATAATATATTCATACATCTCAGCAAACGAGAATGAATTGAAATGGATTGAAATGGATTAAAAGATTTTCAGAAATATTGATTCACAAATGTTAAAATGAATGCTTTTCGATCCTGAATTTTTTATTCATTTATAGGAATTGCATGAAGTATATTTCTATGCTTTTCAATCTAAAAATAATATTATACTTTTTCTGTACATTGTGAATACTTTTCAATTCAAATTTTGAATAGGAAATGAAGTTTTTCAATCCAATTACATCCAATTAAATCCAAATAAAAGTATTCGCTACTTAAAATACGCATTCGGATAGAAAAAAATCCATTTTAATCTATTCTCGTTTTTTGAAATATCATCAGTCTCTTTAACAACAGTGACAATTAAATTTTTTTATTGGATTCTAGATTTTTTGGTCTGCAAAATACATATATCATCTTTCTTAATACAATTAACGTAATTAAAGCTTCCAACATGAGCATTAATTAATAATCACTTTAATACAGATTAAAACTGTTCAGTGATTGAGTTATTATTATTACTCGATTGTTAACCATTGTAATAATTGGAACGTTTATTGCGAATTTGCTTCGCACACTATGAACAATCTACGGATCTTTCGAATTTAATTATTTTTTGACGTCACAATTTTCACTTGGCTGTACGCCAAGGCGTTAATTTTTTTCTTTATAAAAAATTGTGATAACGGATATCTTTTGATCTGTACAGATTTTTATCTGATATTCGTTGCCAAGCTCTCTCAATAGAAGGAAATTGAGTCGTCATTCTTCCGTCTCGCTGTGAAGGATTGAGAGAACTGCAATAAATGTTTAGACTAGTGATGACTCGAAGGCAAGCCGAAACATCTATGTGTAATTAATTATATTCTTTTGAATTGGTAATAAATGATTTTTTTATTCTCGCACTAAATACCGCAAATAAACTCTCATTAGCCCTTCTTTGTTTTTACACTTGAAATTTTCAAGGAGTTGTTACTTGTCTTATTTGTATTATTATTACCTCCACAAGATCTAATACTTGAAAAAAAAGCTTCAGGTAATCTTATGATAATTTGTATGTCAATACATATTGCAAAGGTGATTCATTGGTCGATACATATTTATCTATATAACTATAGCTATGCAGCTTCGTATTGGTACTATGATACACAATCTAATTTTCGTTTATTCCTCAAAATTGATTTTCCATTATAATCAAGCAATATAATGTAATTTTCATATTCCATAACTTTTGATCGAATTTCAGTAATATTACTCCAATTAATAGGACTTTTACTTATTGTTAGACTATTTTAACATTCTTCTATCTCGAATTAAGCGAGTCAAAAATATTATTCATCGTCATACAAAATTTTTCTGTACCAAAAGAATATGAAAATAAGATAGTTTAATAGTTGTTCTAAAAAAAAATACAATGTTATTAATACTATAGTAGTTACTATATATAGTTACTAACACTTATAGCTTAATAATTGAGTAATTAACCGAATTCTCATTTTCTCTGTTTGAAAATTTATGTGACATTTTCTAATTTTAAGTTCCATATAAACCATATTAATACCATATAATTACTATATAATTACTGATACTAAACTAATTTCTTCAAATAATTCTACAATTGTATCTCCATCCGTTAATATTTTTTTATCTCCAAATGTATTCCATACTAATTTGATGGCATGGCACGTATAAAATATTTAAAAAATAAATTCTTGTTATAGATGTAGAATAGATAAATCAAATTTGTAGTACAAAATTTTGCTCCTAAACTCTCGGCCATTCTTATATTCGATAACTAAAAATTAATGATATAATTTATATCAATAGGATGTAAACTTTTCTAAACATTGCAAAATTATATTAGCTCTATCCTCGCCATTTAATGCATTAATAAAATGATAAGCAACTGGAATTTTCCAATTTTCATTCAAACTGTTAGAATATATAATTTAAACCGAGTTTGATCTAGGGTTTAGAAATCTAGAGTTTTAATTTCACAATTGTTCAAAATTTAATTATACCCGAGTTATTCTATTACTTTAAAAGAACGCGTGCGTGTCCAGCAAACGAGAATGGATTGAAATGAATTGAAATGGATATAGATTTTCAGAAATATTGATTTATGAATGTTAAAATGAATGCTTTTCAATCCTGAATGCATTTTTATTCATTTATAGGAATTGCATGGAGCATATCTCTGTGCCTTTCAATCTAAAAATAATATTAGCTTTTTCGGTGTACAACACACACATTGTGAATACTGTTCAATTCAAAATTTTGAATAGGAAATATAGTTTTTCAATCCAATTGCACCCAATTGAATCTAATTGAATCCAATTAAATCCAAAAAAAGTATTCGCTGTTTAAAATACACATCCGGATAGAAAAAAAATTTCAATCCATTTTAATCTATTCTCGTTTGCTGGGCATTTCACGTATATATGGGATTCCAGAAAATAACACACTGGAGAACTTGAGACGGCCAAATTGATCGCAGAGGAAATGCGAATCAAAACAAGACATCAAGAGAATAAAGTTGTTTTCAAAATAATTAATAAAAAATACTTCAAGTACAATATTTAAACGAGAATGGATTAAAATGGATTGAAATTTTTTTTTATCCGGATGTGTATTTTGAACAGCGAATACTTTTTTTGGATTTAATTGGATTCAATTAGATGCAATTGGATTGAAAAACTGTATTTCTTATTCAAAATTTTGAATTGAACAGTATTCATATAATTGTGTTTGTGTGCATAGAAAAAGCTAATATTATTTTTAGATTGAAAAGCATAGAGATATACTCCATGCAATTCTTATAAATGAATAAAATGCATTCAGAATTGAAAAGCATTCATTTTAACATTCGTGAATCAATATTTCTGAAAATCTGAATCCATTTCAATTCATTTCAATCCATTCTCGTTTGCTGAGTAAGTTAAATCACATCGCAAAAAACTGTAGGATAAAAACACCTTCAACAAACAAATACGTTGTTTTCAATGTAACAAGACAGGTCACAGAAAAATTTTGCAAGTAAAAGGCGCAAAAAATAATGAAGGTTGCAGTATTTGTAAAAAAAACAAATCACGTGGATAAAAATTGTTTCTTCAGGAAAGACAAAAACAAGAAGCCTGACAATGAAGAAATAGTATTGTTTCTTGTCTCAAAGACCAACAAAGGTGATCAGTGGATCGTTGATCGTTGGAATCTACGTTGATTGGAATCTATGATGATTTGTTAACAGGTATTTGTTAACAGGCACAGATATTCACAAAATGAACATAATTATGAAACAACTTAGTGAAAAGTTTAAAATAAAAATTGCAAAAGAAGTAAACAGTTAGGATATGAATTGTCGAAACCAAAGGACATTGTAATATTAAAACAAGAGGATTATATAAAGAAAATGCTGGTACATAGTAATATGGACAATGCCAAACTTATAAAAATTCCTTTACTTCAGGGAGAGCGAATAAAGACTATACGACTAAAAAGAACAATTATCCTTATAGGAAAATGGTAGGCTGTTTGCTCTATGCCTCCTCAAAAAGAGCGAACATTGCATTTGCAGTGAATTTTATTAGATCTGTGGAAAAACCAATGTAAGAAAATATAAATAACGTAAAACATATTTTAAAATATTTGAAGAGCAATATAAGCCAGGGAATAAAATTCCAGAAAAATCGAAACCTCAAATTATTACAAGCGTACTTAGATACTGATTATGCTGGAGCTGTGAAAATCAGAAGAAGCATAACAGACTTTATAATAGTCTATGATGGAGGATAATCCTCGTTTGATTTCCAGAAAATAATCAATAATAACGCAATCGGTCACTGAAGCTGAATATGTTGCGGAATGCTGCAAGGAATTGGTTTATCTGAAGTCTATATGGAAGAGTTATTAGATGAGAAAATTGAGATAGAACTACATATGGAATCAGAGCGCAATAATGTTGATAAAAAATGGCATAATAAATAAAAGAAGCAAATATATTGATGTTAGATTCAGATATATTCATGATCTGGTTAAGGAAAAGGGAAAGTGTTAGAATATATAATTTAAAGAGTTTAATCTAGAGTTTTTAGAGATCTAGGGTTTTAATTTCATAATTATTCAGAATTTAGTTATATCCGTATCATTTTATTACTTTAAGAGCGCGTGCATGAATAGCAGAATGATGTTATCGCGATTTGCAACTGATTGATCATCCCTTTTTTCCGGCGAACATAATGAACTCATCTTCGCGATATTATTAAGTTGCAATAATCTGCGAAATAATTTAATAATCAATGCTGTCCGCAAATCGTAGTTTCTAGGCATAAAATTCGACATGTTCAACGCTATTACAAACTACTGTATGAAACTTGT